CCACCCGCCCACCCCTTCTCGTCCGGCAGGATCCCTCAGCTCTGTACCCGGGACAAAAACACAACGATCCAGATCAGCATCCGGGTGTGTGTGTGTGTGTTTTGTCACAGGCCCCAAACTGGCTCCCGCTTGCCACCCCAGAAGTAGTGGAAAGTGTGAGGTGGGGGAGGGGGCTTTGGGCAATGCCCCCTCTAAGCTGTGGAGTCTTGTGGGCAAAAAGTTCTACTTTGTGAGCTACTGGCCTTGAAGATGTGAGCGAGCCATTTGGCTGCTGCGTAAATCAGTTTGCTCTGGAGCCCTCCTTCCCGAGCTAAGACAAAACTCTGTGAGCCGCAGGCTAAAAAACTGTGAGCTGGCTCACACTAACTCAGCTTAGAGGGAAGAGTGGTGGTGGAGACAATTTGGGGGAGGCAGATAGCTAGTTCAGGTCAGAGGCATTTTCTTCCTGAATGTGCTGATTGGGTGGGGGGGAATAGAAATTTTTTATACGAATCCCCCCTTGAAAAAGCTTCCTGCATAAGAACGTAAAGAAGAACCCTGCTGGATCAGACCGGGGGTCCACCTAGTCTCGCTTCCTGTCTCATGCAGTGGCCAAACAGTGGCCCTGGAGAGACAGCGGACGGGGCACAGAGGCCGAGAACCTTCCCAAGCGGTGTTCCCTCTAAGCTGAGTTCGTGTGAGCCAGCTCACAGTTTTTTAGCCTCTGGCTCACACGTTTACGTCTCTGCACAGGGAGGAGGGCTCCAGAGCAGACGAATTGATGCAGCAGCCAAATCGCTCGCTCACAACTTTAATGCCAGTCGCTCACAAAGTAGAATTCTTGCTCTCAGGACTCCACAGCGTAGAGGGAGCGTTGTTCCCAAGGCCCCGCTTCGAAGGGGAGGAGCCCCCCCTCCTCTTGCCCTGGCAACTGCAAGCATTCAGGTGTTTTACTTACTGTCTGAATGTTTTCACGTTCGCCACCTCTGGGGGCCCGGTCCTGACTGGGTGGAAAGGCTGCATAAAAATGTTTTAAATGAGTACATCAGTCAGGGCTGCCAAACAAGGAACTCCCTCCCTCCCTCCAGAGGGATCAGGAAGGTGGCCGGGCCTGCATTGTCAGTGCCTGCCCTCCCTCCCTGACATCCACCGCTCCACACGCAAGAGCCAGCAGCAAGCAACCTCCGGCTCCTGGGCCCCCTGCGCCCACCCTTCCTTCCGGCTCTAGCCCAGTGTTCCTCTTCTCGCGTGGTCTTCTGCCCGGTCATCTCCTGGCCCTACCCCTTTCTGCACGGGTCTTAGATTGATTGCTATATCGGAAGGGCCTCTGCCTCCACCTTTCTCCCGGGCAAGGCGGTGCCGGCAGATCAGCAGCCGGCAGACTGACGTTCTCGTGCCCTCTCCCGGGCCTCAAGGTCTTCTGGGCTGTGGGCTTTTTGAGGGAGCCAGATTGGGGGCGTCTCTTAAGACTGTCACTCAGAAGAAGGCCAGGGAGCGGTTCCCGTTGGCCGCAGACAACAGGACTCACAATAAGATAACCCGACCAGATGCTAGGAGAACTTTTTTTACAGTATGAGTAGTTCAGCAGTGGAATCGGCTGCCTAGGGAGGTGGTGAGCACCCCCTCCCTGGCAGTCTTCAAGCAGCAGCTGGACGAACGCCTGTCAGGGATGCTTTTGGGTTGATCCTGCGTGGAGCTGGGGAGGGGTTGGACGAGGTGGCCTGTGCGGCCCCTTCCAACTCTGTGAATCTGTGATCTTCCTCTGCGTGGGTGCTGTGGAGGGCGTGGCAGATTGTGCTCCCCCAAAGGCCACCGCAGTGGGGTCCCATGGAGGCGGGAGGCGGCTCTCGCCCTCTGGTGCGTCCTGGCGAAGGTCCCACCCAGACCTCTCCCCGGGACAGTTATCTAAAATGCAGGGCAAGGATATTCTTACGAAGGGGGTTTCTGTCATGTGACAAGCAGAGATTTGGGGGGGCCCCCTCTGTACTTGTCCTGCTTTCCCTCCCTGCAGGAGTTCGTGTGGGAAGCCTCTCACTACCTGGTCCAGCAGGTCTTCAACAGCCTCAGGGAGATGTTCTCCGGCACTCGGGAGATACAGGTGAGGTTGCCTCTTTCGGATCCGGCTCTTTGCCTAGGCTTGGCTCCCCCCCCCACACACACGCTGGTTGGCAGTCTCCCTTCCGCCCCTGGCCGAAATGACCCACGCTGCCAGGCCAAGAGTCCAGTTTTTCTTACCTTAAAGAGCAGCATAGAATCAGTTTCATCCTTATCCCAAGTCCAGTGGGGCACCTGGAAGACCAACAAAGTTTCATTCCCCCTCGTCCGATGCAGACTTTGTTCTGCTGCTTCGGACAAACACGGCTACCGGCCTGCCTCTGTCCTTCTTCTGCTCCTCCTCCGAGGAGTTCAGGGTCGAGCACGTGGCTCTCCCTTCCGTAGGGTTTATCTTCTGCAAGGGCAGCTAAACAGAGAGAGGCAAAAACATGTGGCTGACCCAAAATCACCTGGTGAGCTTCTGCGGGTGAGCAGGGATCGGAACCCGGATCTCCTCTGTTCCAGTCCGGCACTCTAGCCACTGTCCCGCCTGGGCTCTCTACGGAAAAGGTCCCCAGGGCTTCCCGTGCTTATCGGGCTGGGCACGCCTGTTCTCTTGATCGCCCTCTAGGCCCTCTTGGGGTGCAACAGCAGGAGGATGACGTTTGTGCGGCCGTGCAGAGCCCAAACAAATGATGCCGTTTTTGGCCATCTGCCACATTTGGGGATGCTGGATTTCTATGCCAGTCCGTGTGCCAGGCTCTGGCACCAAGACAAGGCTTGCAAAACTTCTGGGGGTGCAGAATTTGCTGTCTGGTCCCGAACTGTGCCTCAGCCCCTGCCCCCCCGCCACTGTGCTCACCACCGCTGCCTTCACCCTTGCAGGGCTGGCTGACGGAGAGCGCCCGCCACATCGCCAAGAGTGCAAAGCACCCCTTGTCTGATGCAGACTTTGTTCTGCTGCTTCGGACAAACACGGCCACCGGCCCCCCTCTGTTCTTATTCTGCTTCTCCTCCGAGGAGTTCAGGGTTGAGCACGTGGCTCTCCCTTCCGTAGGTTTTATCTCCTGCGAGGGCAGCTAAACAGAGAGAGGCAAAACCATGTGGCTGACCCGAAGTCACCTGGTGAGCTTCTGCGGGTGAGCAGGGATCGGAACCCAGGTCTCCTCTGTTCCAGTCCGGCACTCTAGCCACTGTCCCGCCTGGGCTCTCTATGGAAAAGGTCCCCAGGGCTTCCCGTGCTTATCGGGCTGGGCACGCCTGTTCTCTTGATCGCCCTCTAGGCCCTCTTGGGGTGCAACAGCAGGAGGATGACGTTTGTGCGGCCGTGCAGAGCCCAAACAAATGATGCCGTTTTAGGCCACCTGCCACATTTGGGGATGCTGGATTTCTGTGCCAGTCCGTGTGCCAGTCTCTGGCACCAGGACGAGGCTTGCAAAACTTCTGGGGGTGCAGAATTTGCTGTCTGGTCCCGAACTGTGCCTCAGCCCCTGCCCCCCCGCCACTGTGCTCACCACCGCTGCCTTCACCCTTGCAGGGCTGGCTGACGGAGAGCGCCCGCCACATCGCCAAGAGTGGGCGGACCGTGGAGTGGGTGACTCCCCTGGGACTGCCCATCGTCCAGCCCTACCATCGCTCCAAGACGACCCAGGTGAGCCCGGCAGGGGGGTGGGGGCTGCATAAGGGCTCTGTTTTGAGGGTGCGCGAGAACCGTCGTGGCCGGGAAGTTTTTTCAGGACCTCAGACTGCAACCAAGTGGCCGGGTCCTTTTGGTGTAAGGGCAGAAGCCTGGAAGGGCTGGGTGGGGTCTGACTTGGTACCAGGTGGCTCCTTCTGTGCGGGGATGGGGTAGCCTGCCTTTTATTCTCCTAGCTCACACTAACTCAGCTTAGAGGGAACACCGGCTCTCAGGTGTTGCTAAAGAGGTCTCCGTGCCCAAGAGCAGCTGAGAGAGAGAGACTGAGCTTGTGCCCGGGTATCAGGCGGTTTCGTATGTTCGTATACGGTGCAGGGCATTCCAGAAAACCCTCCAGTGGAGGGGGGGCTCACTCTCCCGAAAATGGCACTCGGAGCAGGTTCTTGCCTTTGTGGTCTTTTTTTTTTTTTTTTTTTTTTTAAAGGCGGGTAAATTGTCCAAGGTGTTTTATCTGGTGCAGGCAAGTCCCTCTCCACAAGAGGGCAGCAGAGGGCTGCTTCTGCTGCCATGTTTCCGTTAGTCCTAACCATTCAGTCTGGTGCAGCCGCTCCACAAGAGGGCAGCAGAGGGCCATTTCTAAGGCCACCTTTCCTTTAGTCCAGGGTGTTTTATCTGGTGCAGCCAAGTGCCTCTCCACAAGAGGCCATGTTTCCTTTAGTCCTAACCAGTCTGGTGCAGCCGCTCCACAAGAGGGCAGCAGAGGGCCATTTCTAAGGCCACCTTTCCTTTAGTCCAGGGTGTTTTATCTGGTGCAGCCAAGTGCCTCTCCACAAGAGGCCATGTTTCCTTTAGTCCTAACCAGTCTGGTGCAGCCGCTCCACAAGAGGGCAGCAGAGGGCCATTTCTAAGGCCACCTTTCCTTTAGTCCAGGGTGTTTTATCTGGTGCAGCCAAGTGCCTCTCCACAAGAGGCCATGTTTCCTTTAGTCCTAACCAGTCTGGTGCAGCCGCTCCACAAGAGGGCAGCAGAGGGCCATTTCTAAGGCCCCCTTTCCTGTAGTCCAAGGTGTTTTATCTGGTGCAGGCAAGTCCCTCTCCACAAGAGGGCAGCAGAGGGCTGCTTCTGCTGCCATGTTTCCGTTAGTCCTAACCATTCAGTCTGGTGCAGCCGCTCCACAAGAGGGCAACAGAGGGCCATTTCTAAGACCCCCTTTCCTTTAGTCCAGGGTATTTTATCTGGTGCAGCCAAGTCCCTCTCCACAAGAGGGCAGCAGAGGGCTGCTTCTGCTGCCATGTTTCCGTTAGTCCTAACCATTCAGTCTGGTGCAGCCGCTCCACAAGAGGGCAGCAGAGGGCCATTTCTAAGGCCACCTTTCCTTTAGTCCTGGGTGTTTTATCTGGTGCAGCCAAGTCCCTCTCCACAAGAGGGCAGCAGAGAGCCATGTTTCTAAGGCCATGTTTCCTTTAGTCCTAACCGTTCAGTCTGGTGCAGCCACTCCACAAGAGGGCAGCAGAGGGCCATTTCTAAGGCTACCTTCCCTTTAGTCCAGGGTATTTTATCTGGTGCAGGCAAGTCCCTCTCCACAAGAGGGCAGCAGAGGGCCATTTCTAAGGCTACCTTCCCTTTAGTCCAGGGTATTTTATCTGGTGCAGGCAAGTCCCTCTCCACAAGAGGGCAGCAGAGGGCCATTTCTAAGGCTACCTTCCCTTTAGTCCAGGGTATTTTATCTGGTGCAGGCAAGTCCCTCTCCACAAGAGGGCAGCAGAGGGCCATTTCTAAGGCTACCTTCCCTTTAGTCCAGGGTGTTTTATCTGGTGCAGCCAAGTGCCTCTCCACAAGAGGCCATGTTTCCTTTAGTCCTAACCAGTCTGGTGCAGCCGCTCCACAAGAGGGCAGCAGAGGGCCATTTCTAAGGCCACCTTTCCTTTAGTCCAGGGTGTTTTATCTGGTGCAGCCAGGTCCCTCTCCACAAGAGGGCAGCAGAGGGCCATTTTTTAAGGCCACATTTCCTTTAGTCCTGATATCAGTTATAAAGCTGAATTTGTTGACAGGTTCCTCAACTGAACACACTGCTAGCCTTAGCAAAAAAAAATTAACTGTAGGTTTCAGCCCCAAAACTTAGAAGCCAGACTCTTTTTTTCAGCTTTCAGGGTTTAGTGTTTAAATTACCACACTTTCTAATTATTGCTAGCCTCGGTCCTAATCGGAAACTGTTCACAGTTCCTCATGATTTTGTTCACCTGTGTCTCAAACGCTGCAGCCGTGCTGCCCATCGAAACGTCTGTGTTGCCCACCAAGTGTTTTAAGTGGAGCAGTTTCCCACCATGGCTTCTGATTGGTCCCTGGAGATCTGGTTGGCTGGGCCAATTAAAAAAAACGTATTTTCAGTGGGAGCTGCTATCGCAGTGTTGGTTTGATTCTCACTCCTCTTTCCCAGGGAGTTTTATGAACTGTCCTCATTCTCCCCTGCACGTGGGTTTCCTCTGTGCCTCTTGCTCTGCCGCTTCAGTCTGCCATTTTGTGGCGGCTTCTGCCTCTCTTTGCCAGAATTCTCAGCAGCCTTCTGTCAAAATTCCAAAAGGGCTGGGGAGGCCATCAGAGTCCAGCCTCCTAGTTCAGCTCTGTCTGGTTCCTCCTCCTGTAAAGAGCTGGCTTCCTTACGGAACAAAGTCTGAGTCCAGGGGCACCTTGAAGACTAACAAAGTGTAATCCTGGCATGCACACAAAAGCTTATACCTTGAGTAAAACTTTATTGGTGTCAAAGGCGCCACAAGAATCAAACTTAGTTCTGTTGCTTCAGACCAACACAGCTACCTGTCACCTTCCTTACACAGTCCTGTCAGGTTTGGGACGTGAGAGTTCGCCAGGATGACACAACGACTCAGAAACGGAACCAGGTTTTCCTCTCAGTGATGGGTTTACGTTCATCATTCTTTCTCTCTCAGCTACAACCCATGGGGGGTCAATTCTGGAGTACCAGTTAAATTCACTTTCCTCCTAATCAGCTGACCTCCCCATCATTCGTCCTCGAGGTCACCTGTTTTCTCTTTATTTCTGATATCATACAGTTATCATCCCCACGAACTCCCCACACCCGACTCTTAAAGTGATCACACCAATCTTTTATCCCCTGGGTATTTGCTTTTCTTTTTCCATCATTGCCAACCCGTCTCCCTTCTATCGGGTCCCTGTCTCGAGCCCCAATGGGACCTCCTACCCTGTCTCCCTCCTTTAAGAGCAGTGCTTCCTCGCATTGTTTGTTTATACAGAGTCCCGGGTCCTCCCTCAAAGGGCCGCTGACTGATTTATCTATGTTCTCTGGTACTAAGGGGGATGGCACCTGCGTAGTCTTTGGCATCGACTTCCTGACACTACCCGAATCTGGCTTCCTAAAGATCTGAGAGAGAGAGAGAGCTGCCTGGCCAGCTCTCAGGTGAACAGGTAGAAGGAGCAGTCACCAGGAAAGCCAATTCTCTGATCTCTTGAAAGGAACCTAAGGCCATAGGCGTCAACCGCATCTGCCAGTGAATTCTGCTTAGAGCAGAGGGGGTTCTTCTCTGCCCTGATCCTGCTTCAGCTCTGTTTCACGGAATGACCGTGAGCTCTCGCGTTGTGTGCCAGCGTTAACAGAGAGGGAGAGCAAGACAAGATTTCTCCGTGAGTCAGAATTTTTTAAACCATCTGACTTCACCGGGCCGTAATTGTAATGCTGGAGCAGGAAGCACCTGAGCCAATTATTATGAATGTGCGTACTTTGTCTTGTAACCCCGCTGAGGTTCTGTTCACCCACGACTGTGCAGATCTGTATGCCTCCATTCACCGGGGTGGGGGTGGGGGGGTGGATCCAATTTCCAGCCTTTAAATTCATTATTGGCCAATTTGCAGCTGTTAGTTCTTGCCTCCCCGAGACTTGTGACCGCGCAGACGCTTCCTTGGCTCTTTGATGAAGACTCTTCTGGGCAGGCGATTAGCGGTTTCTCTACCCTCCCACTCCGTGGGGTTAATGATTTCCCTCCCGGCTTTCAGGATCCAGATGTGGGAAGGTCTGATTGTGGTCCAGCGGCTCATAGAGGGATACCTGTGATTCATGTCCTGGTCCTGCTTGTGCTCTCTCTCTCCCTCCCTCTCTCCCTCTCTCTCTCTCTCTCTCTCCCCCT